GTTGTTGTTGGCTCATGCTTTATACCTCAGTCAGACAAGCTGAAAACTGAGTTCCAAAACAGGCGAATGTACTTACTGTTTTTGAAGTTAACCCAAAGATGCATTTTCTGACCTTTAGATTTTGACCGGTCAACGATATTGGCGCACACTTGTTCTCATGTCCGTATCAAGTATTAATGATGATGAATAATTTTCTAGAAAATTTATTATTATTATTTAAATTAATAATAACAATTAACAACAGCTCAACACTGCAAAATCTTGGTCATGTGGACGACTATGATTACTCATTCTTCTTCTTTCCAGAAGTGGCAGCTGGAGCACCAAAGTATTTTCTAACAAAGAAGTCAACAAACAAGTACAAATAAGCACCATACATGGCAACACAGCTCAACATAATTTCGTATGGAGCATCACAACGACAATTCTTCTCTGCAGGCACACCAGCATCTCTATTCTTGAAGAACTTGTAAGCAAAGATGGAATTGAAAACAATACCCAAAATCATTTGAGTAATTTGACCGATGGTCAACAAAAGTTCCAACTTGGTCTATAACCCAATTCAGTCAATGCATAATAGTAGTACATAAAGGTGTGAATCAAAGAGTTCATAATAATAAAGCAGTATCCGACAGCATATTGAGTGTAGACAGCATACCAAGTGAAGAGCAAAACAGTCAAATGGTGGAACCAGTGCAAGAATGGAACCTTACGATCTGGGTGCTTGATAACCAACAAGACAGTATCAAAGAGTTCCAAGTACTTGGAAAGAGCGAAAATGTAGGCCCAAACAATGTGTGGGAGACCTTCTTCAGGACCTGTTTTGTTGTGACACGGTTCATGTGAGACGATGTGTCGTCATTGTGAGATAGACACCAATGTGACAAAACCCAAATAAACGTCATATTATGAGTGTCGGAATATAATGACACATAACGATATCCAAACAAAAAAAATCAAATCACACCAGTTCACAAAAATGTGAAAGAAACAAGCAGCAATATAACACAATTGAAACAGACAGACCCGTCATTGTGTTCGTAGTAGTAATAATTATAGATAATGAGCCGAACAACTAATACACAACATACCTAACACGTGCTTCTCTTCACAAATCAAACCTGGTAAATCCCAAGCGTAATCATTCTTCAAATAAGTAAACCATGGAACAGCAGCACCCAACAACATGGCCAAACTCAAAACACTCAAGAATAAATTCCACAAGAACATGACCATCTTCAAGATTGGTCTCTTTGCATCCTTAGCTGGGACTGGCAACAATTTTGGCAAAACAAAAACAATGAACAAGTAAACAATCACTGAAGAAATTGGCAGCGCATTGGTAAAATTCTTCATGAGGTAAGTTTGGTCCATAGTTAGTCTAAACTTTTGATGGTATTGAGTGGCAAGGAAATTCAAATCCAAAAGCTTGGCTGGTTCTGCCATGACAAGTTGGCAGAACTCGCGGAGTGGTCCCATAAGAAGGAGAGGCATTGTTGTTGTACTAGTGCACTAGTATTACTACAATATATTGTTTGAGAGCAAGGGAGAGGATTTCATCATCATCGTAATGATAGAGGTGTAACGCCATCATCATATTAGACAACAATAATTAAAGAGTTATGGGAATATTTACAGGAGCGAACATTTCGGCCGAACAAGAAAGCACCATACCAAATAATAGTATTTTAGTGGAATATCAACAACAAGGTGTTTCATAGTAAGTACAGCCAAAAACCAGGACCATCATTATCATCATGAAATATGTTGAAGTTACAGTAACGGAAAAATAAATTGAGAACACGTTCATCATATACGCGAGTGTTCATTCATTACAAGAGAGTTGGTGGCCAAACAACAACAACAACCACACATTTCAGCCAATCCATCACCGGTGGTTCAACAAGTCATTGTTTTATTATTCAACACGGCGTTAGCGTTATCTTTCAATGCCATTCCTGTACGAAAGGCAAACACATACCTCTCAATATGCTATTTTTTTAAAAACACAAAATTCACAGAACGAAAGCCGCCCAATTTCACAACGTTCAAATGCTGTTGATGCGTCGGACACCTGTCAAGGAGGTTTGGAGGTCTTTGACGAGAAGGATGAACGACTCGGCTAACATATGAGTGTGTGTCGTGTTTATTGAGGATGATGCTCAATGACAAATGTCACCCAATGGCCAGTTGCCTATTTAAAGTCTCATAGAAAAAGGAAGAACATCAACATGTTGCATCGTATCTAAGTAGTTGTTCGGTAGTCCACACTTATCCCGTGTACGAAACAATAAATTCCAAGGAGAGGGTCTTTTGTTGATGTGGTTGAAGAATGAATTGTCGCTCCATCACACGATTCAATTTCTTAATTTTCACAACCATGTTTTCGTCATCACTATCTTTAAAGGCCAGATACAAAGAATCAGGGGATGATTGAGATTTTGCCGACTCCTTGCTCTTGGGGTTAGATGTTAACATGTCATAGAGGTCAAAGAGATCAGTTTCAGGTTTTCCATCGAGTTTAGGTTGTGTGAGAAGTACTTTCAAATTTCTGTCCTTGTGTCGATTCATAATTTTAGGCAAGGCATCCATCACAGTGATGTTAATTGGAACGTCCTTCTTATTCTCAACAAGAACTGTGAAAAGTTCGTTGACCATCTTGGTTTTTTTGGAACCATCCAGAAAAGTCCTGGTTTGAACTCTGCTCAATAACTGATACAGAGACCATCTTATCAATTCCAGTGTCCAAATTAAACGTTTGTTCAGGAAAGATGTTCTTATCGATGGCGGTTTGCGAGGTCAACATGCTGTCAATGAAAATGTCCACATTGCCAGGTAAAAGCATCAGCTTGGACTTGTTCTTAATGCGCATGCTTGTGTAAACTTTGGTCGATTGTCGAGGAATTACCTTGTAGAACCATTTGGCAGCGAGCATAACTTGTCCAATAAGAACCTTTTGACCATGCTGCTTTTTCCTGATTCGGTGGTCATCTTGTTTCTCTCCTCCTCACTTGGAACACTCGGCGACAACAGTGTCAAGCGTTCACGAATGAAATACATAAACGAGTTAGAGAGGAGAGGATTGTGTTTGACAAGTGCCACATTTTGAAATTGGCCAAAATTGACTTGACCAGCAGCCACCTCACTCTGTACAGAACTATCTTGGGCTTGATTCATGGTATTGGCCATTCGGCTCATTGGTGCAAAAGATTTAAACGAGTAAAGTGGTTCACTGGGCTCGTCCAGATTAATTCCAATGTCACTCAATAACAAATCCCTAACTTCTGGAAGAGAAGGTGCCATTGTCAAAGCATCGGTGTTGAGAATAATTTGGGCATTAGTCCAATTCTCTCCAGTGTACTGTTGGAGATCTGCCATGAAAATAAGACGACCCGTTTGTCTCTTGCTGTCGATATAAAGAGAGTAATAGGGCGTCCAACTCACGAGTGGTTGAACGTAATGCATCGTCGTCACTTCGTTATCCATACCGTTATCCTTGCCAACAATATATTTCACAATAATCTCTGCTGTCTCCGTGGTGATATTCTTTGGAAGAGCTGTGCTAAAAGTGAAAATGTATGGAAGATGGCTCTCTGACTTTTGCTGATCGTCCAGTTGTTCCATCTTTTTCAAAATTTCGTTCTTTCGTTTTGAGAGGCCTGTGACAATTTCTTCTAATTGATTCAAAGCTTGCATTTTCTCTTCAAATTCTTTCTTTTCAAACTTGCCATTCACTTGTGGTAAAATGATATTCTTTAGTCGTTCCACGTCTGATAGTTTTGAGTCGATTGGCTTCAACTCCTCTTGCAATACCTCCTTTTGAGTTTTCACTGTATTTGAATTCGAATAGGCCTCTTGCTCAAATTGTGTGTCTCTAAGAAAGAGTGGAACGATGGTATTGACAGCATTTGAGCCATCTTTTGAATCTGGGGCATTCACTGGTGGAATCACTGCACTCACAGAAATGCTTGATAAATCCACATGTCGAGAAAGTCCTGTTAATTGGATTTGTATCTTGTTGGAGGTCGGTGAAGAGATCATCTTTGTCAATTTGAACACTCTCTCCACACCCGCTCTGTTATTGGTAAAGAGAGTCACTGACGTTGAAATGGCATCTCGATCGCAATGGAATCGATAGGAATTGATGCTGCTGGTTGTGGACGATGAATCATCGCCCTCAATAACATCCGTGGGGATTTGCATCGGAATATCTTCGGTTTGGGGAATATCTTCATCATTGCTCGTGATAGTATTGAATTCCAAACGGGTACGATCCAAGATGTCTTGTTTGTTCGGGTCGTTCTTCTCAATATCAGCTCTGATCAAGGTGACCAAACCGATGGCCGTCATGATGATCAATGATGTCATTATTCCGATGATCATCAAGCGTCTACTACATAAAAACCTTTTCATTTTCCGTAAAACTACGTAAAGCATGAAATGCGTTTCTTTACACTTTACAAATTCAAAATGATTCGTAACGAGATGAATATGTTTCTTGTTTAGGTCACTTCGAAACTTTAGGACAATTTTTTCATTTTTTCTTCGACGATTATTGTCGGTTTCTTTTAAGGCGAAGCTCCGAGAGCAATTTAATGGTGCTTTTGTGTGGTACTGAGAACACGAAGAAGATAATGAAAATTTGAAACCAACGACAATGTTCGATGAGTCATTGGGTCAAAAATCATTGGTCGGTGAATTGTAAATCAAACACGTGTTCGCTACTTGGTCTTGTTGCAATAACATACGTTTTCCAAATCCTCCAAGAACTCTAAAGGTGACCCATCCTTCTCTTTCAAACTCTTGTATACAACCACAATTAGAACTATTCATGTCCCTCTCTCTTTGGAGAGCATATTAAGAATCTATCTAATGTTTTCTATTTCTATGTTCTGGTGTGTAATGACTGATATCCATGGAGATTCCATATGCCTTACATTGTGAAGTCATTTTGAGAGGATGTGCTGAAATCTTTTGAATCACATTCTCGAAATGATTGCAATGAAATTGTCTCCTCGTGTGTGGATCAATTGCGCTTTCATGTGTTTGAAAAAGGTTTGTGTAATAGGTTGGAGCTTTGTATTGTGGATATCTCTTCCGTAATTGGTTATTTAAACCACGAATGAGAAATTTTCTGTTTGAGAGTTTGTGAAATAATTTCACAAAAACTGGAAAAGTGTCTTTTCCAGAATAAGTACGCAAGGTCAATGGATAAATAATTGAAGAAATATGAGATGGCGTTGTGAATGTTTGATCTTTCAAATCACTACATGATTCTGACACAAGTTCTCTAATTTCCTTAAATAGGCATTGAGGATCGGCATTTGTCAACACTTTAGTCATTGGTTTCAAAGGCATAAATTTCTTAAACCACACTCGAGTATCTTTCTCCTCTTCTCCATTCAGCAATGTAAAAATTCACATATCAAGACATGTTGACACATGGGCTTAGAGTAAATCATTTCGCATCTCATCTTATCAATTCGAGCACATGATTGAAACAAGAATTTAAAATCTAAAAAGTTAACATTTGAAACCAAATGACTTCATTGAATGCAATGTGTGAAAACTCCTCTCGATACAATGATTTCTTTTCGGCTTTCTTTTGGATTGGCTCTGATGTTTCGATCGAAAAGACATGATTGTGTTGGTGTCCAATTCATTTTCTTTGAGTTGGTCCAACAAGGCAAATGAAGACATTTTTTAAAGTTGTTGATGATGATTCATGATTTGGACCAGTAGGAGCTTCTAGTGTGTGAACAATAACAAAAATACGGATGTTTCATTCCATTCGACAGTGATGAAAAGTTCCACTTGGGCCTGTGTATTAAAATTCCAAAAGCTTTGATGTTTTCAAATTCTTCAAGTTTTGAGTTTTGCTCTGTTGAATGAAAGGACAAAAATGAAACAAATACGAAAAAACACATGATTTGGATCAAATTCGCACATCGATGTTGAATTAATTTCCCTTGTTTTTGCTTGATTTCATGGGTTTTTCTTGTTTTCCTCGAATTTTCACTTTTAAAGCACAGAGTCAACTCAGCCAATTTTCACATCTGTGGACAGCAAATGCATAGCTTCCTCCAAATGGACACTTCAACACTTCATATCGGAAATTTTTTACAACGGCAACGACTAGTCGGTTGGCAAATAGGTTCTGTCCTAGCAGCGTTGCTTCTCCAATCCACATTGCCTTATTTGTCGTTTGTGATTGTCTCTCAACATCTTTGTTTTTCAAAAGGAGAGAAAAGCATTGGCTGTGGTTCAATGTTCTGTTGGTTCAGACTTCCTTGTTCCCAACTCACCATTTGAAGCTGTTTGTCACGTTATGTCAAATGTCAAGCATCTTTCAAAAAATTGT